TCCTGTGAGCTCCATAACTCAGCTCTCCCCTCTACTGGCATCCAGCCGCCGTGGCAGCACCCCCTCACCTGCCGTGAATCCATCTTCCCCATAAAATTGTTGGAATGAGCACTTTTTATTGACTGAGCTGGCTGGGATTTATGGAGTCTAACGTTCCAGCCGTGGTATGCTCTGCTACGATCGCTTGGGGGATCAGGCTGGGAACCTGGCTAAGTTATGTACCCGCTCCCCGGCGCTGCGCCGGCCCCACATTCCGGCGGGGGCTGCCACCGACTTCAGGCTGTGCCTGGTCTGGTGTTGCAGCTGGAGTGAGGCTGTGAATCCCCTTGGCCGCCGACACGGCACAGTTTGGAAAGCAGAGGTGCAGCAAGTAGTGCCCACCAGCAGTGATGCTGCAGGGCGGAGGGGAGCAGGGGGCAGCTGCACCCCTGTGTCATGGCTGCCCGTGTTTTAAAATTAAGGTTGAAAAATGTGAGAGTAGAAAAGCACTACAGCCGTCATCTTTTAGGGCTGGAGAAAGTGCGCCGCTGTGAGATACTAAACGCGCACAACCCGTTTAGCTTATCAAGAAGAAGATTGAGAAGGGACTTGATTAGCGTGAGTAAGTGCCATCACGGGGAGGGGACTGGGTACTGAGGGCTCTTTAATCCAGCAGAGAGGCAGAACAAGAACCGCTGGCCAGAAAGCAAAGCCAGATAAATTCAAATGAGAAATAAGGCATAAATTTTTAGTTGTGCAGGTGATCAACCACCAGAACTTGCTCCTCAGGGGAGCGCTGGCTTTTCCGTCTTGATGTCTGGGGTGCCGACAGGCTGCTCCGGTGTGTGTTCTGCAGCCAGGACATGCTGAGCCCGGTGCTCCCACGCGGCAGACAGACATCAGTCTTTTCTCCTGGCCTTGCTGACCTCCTTGTTGTTCCCCAAATGTATTTCGGATCAGCACGTCACAGTGGAAGCAGAGGTGTGCTTGAGGGTGCACGCTCTATCTCACCGGTGCCATTCCTACCGTGTCCCCGCTGGGACTGCAGAGTGTGGCAAGTGAAGGGATGCTGGTAATGGGAAAAGCAAGTGCCTGGCGTGAGAGTCTCGGTTGATAACTCCTAATATCTCAATGCCATGAATCCATCTTCAGTGCTGGGGTGGGGTGTGGAGGCTGGACTGCTTCCCGGGAGCGCATGGATCGGGAGCTGGCATGGGCAGATGGGTGCAGGTTGCTCAGTTCTGTGCCTCTCCTACCCCTGCAGCTCTCGGGGGGTGAGAAGTGCCGGGAGAGCCGGCAGTCACCTCGCTTCAACTACTATGGGGCTGAGCCCGCTGCACCAGACCTCAGTGATGCCGAGCTGCCCCACGTCATCGAGATCTACGATTTCCCCTCGGATTTCCGCACTGAGGACCTACTGCGTGTCTTCTGCAGCTATCAGTGAGTCTACTGGCAATGCCCCATTCCTGGCACTAGAGTCCCCTGCCTGGGCTCTGCTCCAGACCCCTGCCCATCTGATGCCAATGACTTGCTGAGCTTCCCTCTCTCTGGCAGGAAAAAAGGCTTTGATATTAAGTGGGTGGACGATACGCATGCCCTGGGCATCTTCTCCAGCCCCATAACAGGTACTGCTCCCAGTTCAGCTGGGAATGTGCAGAGGGGAAGCATCCCTGCCTCTCCTGTGGCCAGGTCCTCGGCATGGGGCTGGCCCTGCATGCAGACACTGCTGCTCTCTCCCTACAGCACGCGATGCCCTCAGCACCAAGCACCTGATGGTGAAGACTCGCCCGGTCTGCCAGGGCACCCGCGCCTCTAAAGCCAAAGCCAGGGCGTATGCTGGTGAGTGACGCTGTCCCGTGCCAGCTTGTGCCATGGTGCTTGTGCTGCAGCATCTTCATCCCAGTAAATGGGGTGGGATGGGGCAGCTGTCTTAAGCGCTGCAGAGCTGTATCAGCTGCCCTGTCCCTTCTGGGACGGCCCTACTGATGCCCCTCATCTCCACTCACCCAGACTACCTGCAGCCGGCCAAGGAGCGGCCTGAAACATCGGCCGCCCTGGCCAGGCGGCTGGTGATCAGTGCCCTGGGGGTACGCAGCAACCAGACGCCAGCCCAGCGAGATGCCGAGCGGAGGAAGCTGCAAGAAGCCCGGGGTGAGATTTGGATGCCCAGTAGGGCTGTGACATGGGGGGACCCTCCCCATGGACGCCTCTTCTCACACAGTGCTGAGTGAGAGGGGGCTGCGCCAGGGTGGGCTCCGGCCACATCCGTGGGGAAGTGGGTGGCAGTGGGGTGATGAGGACGTGGAGTTGACCCTCTTATCTCTGTAGAGAGGAAGCGCCTGGAGAACAAGCAGCGGGAGGATGCCTGGGAGGGCCGGGAGTGAGCTGGGAGACTGCCCCTTACCCCTTCTGGGAACCTCCCTGGGGGTCCAAGCCCCTCTCTGTGGGCAGGCAGGGCACCCTTCATCTCAGGGTGGGACCGGATCCTGTGCCGCATCCCAGAGCACTGGGGCTGCTCCACCAAAAAGACCGAGCGGGATGCACACAGGCTGGTTGGTGCCATGCAGATGCTGTTGCTGTTGGGCAGCGCTGCCCACCCTGCCCAGGGCAGGACCCCCTGCGCTGCCTGCTGCAGCTGGAGTGGCCGGCAGGACGCGGGGAGCTCAGCAGCGAGAGCAGAGGGACCTGTGGGGCGGCCCTGGCCACCTGGCAGGGCCCTGCAAACGAGACTTTCTGTCCTTTATTTTGCTAATAAATACCATTTATTTTATTTGCCTGGCTGAGCTGTGGCTCTCTGTGCCCTTGTGTGCCGAGGGCTGCCGCGCATGGCCCCTGCTGCCATGGGGATGTCCACCCCTCCTGGG